GCAACAAGCTTCTTGAATGGAGTGAAAAATAAGACTCAAAAATGTGAGATTACTTCACAAAAGTATTTCAAAATAAAATACACATTATGTATGAAAAGGCATGGATAGTTAAGCACACAGAATGACTTCAAATGAAAATTTCCTTTATAGGGGTAAAATATAAATAGCATCAAAATCTTTAGATAAAGCACTAAAGTTTAACATATGACATTTTTATTAGAGTTATTTCGGATATTCTCTCTATTTCTCTGTGTAAAGATTTCTTATAGATTAGTATATAGATCAGATATGTACCAATTCAATAATCCTAATTTGAGGAACTGTCAGTTCTTCAAAATATTTAGATTGCAAAGTGCTTCTTAGGAATAAGCTGACTATATATATGCATAATTACATTTTGTCAAATGTGTCACAACCTATCCAGTGCTTGCCATTTCCTACTTCAAAACGGCTTTAAATTCATTTTAAAGAAATTTTATTTTCTGAAACTGTGGTTTTCATTTTCATTTCCTTCTTAAATTCTGCTTTATTTTTTTTTATATAAAATTTTATTTTATGAAATTGTGGTTTTCATTTTCATAACTTAAACATGTCATTTATGTTGTTTGTAATAATAGATGGTTACTGCAGAGTTCCAATCTCTAAACTTTAAGCAATGACAGAAGATAAAAGACTCTTGAAACATTAATGTAATTGTACAAGTATGAATAATACATGCACAAAAAATAAGCAGAATTGGGGAAAGACATTCAAAAGATACAATTACTTTCTTTTACAGATCCAAAACTATTAAAAGTAAGACATGTGCAAAGATGGATGAAAGTGAAATTTGGAATGTTGTGATTTTGAAATTAATTCATGCACATCAATCAGTTATAAACACATTCTTTGTCCAATGCCAAAACTAAAACTACAAGCAGATATAACATATGGTATTTAAAATTTGCTGGGAATTTGTTTTTCCTAAAATAGACAACATTTTTATTTTAATTTAAGATTTTAATTTTAATTTAATTTAACAATATTTAGGTGGTTATTTTTTCAAACCTGTATATAATTTCTTACCAAAATAACTGGCTTTAAAATCCATCAACTGGTATTTCAGTATAAATGCTCTGAGCAATAAAATATTAAGTAACATGCACTAAAAAATATATATTATATGCATACATGTAGATCAAAATTTTACATGTATTATATGACATAAAATGGGCACTATTTTATAAATCATTTAGAATAAATACATTCATACATCCATCAACAACTCTGACATGAATAAATACAACAAGTACACCATGTTAATTAAGTACCATACACAATGTCATTTGACTAGTATTTTCAATATTGTGAAGTAACAACAATTAGCAATAACTAATTAACTATCATCTCCTTCCCATACAGTTGGACATTCCAATGTAAGAATGGGACCCCTTGCAAACAGCTCTTTGTAGAGTGGCACACAATTTAAAAATAGGGAGATGTGTATTCTCTTTAGAGAAGTGGACAGGCTTTCGCCTACATCCACTTCTCTTCGCAAGTCTTCATGTTTTGATTCTGGAAAACGTGTAAATCTCGAACTGGTGACGGTCTACACTTCAAATGACATTTCGTCTAAAATACGTCTGAATGTACGTAATAGACGTGTTATATTATCAATTTTAACATAAATACACACAATTGTCACAAGAAAACTGACCTTTAATTATTGTTAATCCATTTTCACAAGTTCTCCATCCCGGATTTAAACTAATGTTTATCTACCACAGCTTATTAGAAAAAATTGAAAATTTTAAGTCGAATAATTTGGAAAAATTGGCGAAGACGTATTTTAATGTTCAAGAAAAGTTTTTGACAATTCACTTTTGATTTAGCATAATATTCAAAATTAATATTATTACCTATACTTATTTTTACTATTTTAATACAATTTAAATGTAAATTTGAGATTAAAAAAAATACTTCATTACTTCCTCACTGACAATACTAAATAAATATTTTCTTTTATTTTTAAACGATATTAACTCTATTTTCCCGAGAAATGAAATAAGATTCAAAACAAAGATCAAAAGAATTTGAACGAAACTTGAGGAAATACTGTCTCATTAGTTTAAACAGAGTAGACGAATTCTCTCGTTTCACTATTATTTTGTAAAAATAGTTTCCATTTTTATCCGAATTAGAGATTTTTGAATACTTCAAGAGTTTCTTGCACATAATTTAAATCCGGGATGGAGAACTTGTGAAAATGGATTAACAATAATTAAAGGTCAGTTTTCTTGTGACAGTTGTGTGTATTTATGTTAAAATTGATAATATAACACGTCTATTACGTACATTCAGACGTATTTTAGACGAAATGTCAGTTGAAGTGTAGACCGTCACCGGTTCGAGATTTACACGTTTTCCAGAATCAAAACATGAAGGCTTGCGAAGAGAAGTGGATGTAGGCGAAAGCCTGTCCACTTCTCTAAAGAGAATACAGTCCCTGAAACGTTCTACTTTCCCACTTGAACGGTGAGCGAACGCTGAACGAACGCTGAACGAACGCAGAGCGAACGGTGAGTGAACGATGTGTGAACGCTGAACGCAACTTGGTGAACGATGTGTGAACGGTGAACGGTGAGCGAACGCAGAACGCGAACGGAGCGCAAACGCGAACGCAAAGTGAACGGTGAACGAACGGTGAACGCAAGATGAACGATATATTCGGAATGTCTCTGATCTTTTCCTTGCATTGAAACTATTTTATTGTATTATAATGTCAGGTGCCAAAAAAAAAAATAATAATAATAAATAAGTAAACCAATAAATGAATGAATAAATAAGTAAATAAAATAAATTCTCCAAAATTGTCCTAAGAAAGACGATTCATGCACATTAAGTTTTTAATCATACGATGTTTAACGCATTAAAACATTGCAATTGTTGCCGAACGCTGAAGTATAAAAGATATTTTTTTAGTTGGAAAATAAAAATGTTTATTCTTATTTGATAACAAATCAGAGAAAACTTCTGACTTATAGAATGAATTAAAGCGATTGTAACATCCATTCATATATCTCCGTGTCAAGGCGATTTCATGTAAAGTAATGAAAAAAAAAAAATAATTACAAAGGTCAGTGGACGTTTTGCATTTATACGCTTGTATTTTAAATTTTTAATACAATAATATATTATGTGTCATTTCTATTTTTCATGATGATTTATTGAGCAGACTTCTACATGTATCTGTAGATGGCCGTGATTATACTCGGACAAGATAATACAAAGATACATATTCATATTATTTGTTATAAATTCAATTTTCAGAACTTGATATTTAAGTAATATGCTGTTATAATTTTTATTAAACAGACAAATGAGAGAGAGAGAGAGAGAGAGAGAGAGAGAGAGAGAGATTCCGTTTTAGCCCCCCCCCCTTCCTTTCAGGCTTCACTAAATGTTTGTACCTATATCAAACAATATCTCTGAAATTTTTTTCTAAATATATTAGACAGTGAAAGTAACTTTTTTTTTTTTATCAGCAAATCATATCCATCTGTTTGACAGTATTACTCGTTTTTATTTTCCTGCTTCAAGTTCACACGAAGTCCACGTGCTTGTCCTGTCAATCAAAATCATTCGACACTGTGCAGGTGTGAAAGTTTCGTCACATAGAAGACGAAGTGCGAGTATTTCCAACAAGTTATAACATTTATTTTTATCATTTCTAGATTTGATACCAACATTTGAATAATAAATGAATAAAATATATTGGGCATTAACACATGAATTTGAAACATACTTCTCTGCCAATTTCAAATTCCACCGCCGACACGTGTACATTGTGAACTACTGTTGTTTTGTGACTTTTTTAGATGCATGTTTGTTTTGAGACTGAAATTTTTTGTTCTAAAAAAAGACCTTAACTTTTTTTTAAGAGGTTAATTAAAATTTTCTGGAAATACAGTACTGACTAAGTAACCGATTTAGGGGAAAAGGGGGGGGGGGTTAATCATATCGAATGGCAAACATATAAAGTTAAGGTGAAGAAAGAATTTTTTTTCTCTATAACTATAGACTTTACATACATGTATTATAGTAGCGAAAGTTCTGTAGTTCATTACATTTTAAATAAATATTTCCTTTAAACATATCAATTTAATTCGCTCCAAAGATAATAAATTAACAGGATATCCGCAGTAATATGTATAATTCTCAGAACTAGTTCTATCATATTTTCTGTAGTAACTGAATAAAAAAAAGCGTTAGAAATAAATATTTTCGTAATTTTGCTGCGTAATTATTTGACTTGGATAATTATATCTCCTTTAACGATTTGTCGTCTTTAACAAAACAACAAAATGTTGCAATGCTTGAAGTATTTGCACATTGCCCTTAGTTAAATTTAATATTTCACCATCGTTCTACATAGGTACACAATGTGCTTATAACAACATTTATTTTCCAGAGTAATTTAATAAATAACCTAATAGTTAAGTAAGAATAATAAAAATATATATCTTAGATATTTTACCCCATGAAATAATGCTTCTTCAAACACGATATGTTAGTTATTAAATTAAAAAATCTGTAACTCCTTACCTACAAAAAGATAAGTCCTTTCACGTTGGAGTTCCGAATGGCAATGAAAACTGAACGATAGGTGAACGGTGAACGCAAGGTGAACGCAAAGTGAACGGAACGAAGAGCGAACGCTGAACGCTTTGTGAACGCTGAACGCGAGCGCACGGTGAACGCTGAACGCAAAACTGTGAACGGAGAGCGAACGGTGAACGCACGCTGAACGAACGGTGAACGCACGCTGAACGAACGGTGAGCGAACGGAAAAATGGGAAAGTAGAACGTTTCAGGGACTGTAGGAGATGTGATGTTCAATCTATAAAGTATTTCATATTTAAATCTGGGAAAACTTTTAAACAACTGGAAAAAAAGAAATTGGTCACAGAATCTTATTTCTGTTACATTATCAAAAAAAAAAAAAAAAAAAAAAAAAAAAAAAAAAATGAGATTGTTGCTTGTATGAACCAACCATTCCCTTCTGAATATACAATAAATCTCAACTTTAAACATGGCACACTATCAATAGAAAGCTTGCTCTTATACACTTTTTCATGCAAGGTATCACACTTGAAACCATAAAATGTCATCATGTTTTCTTGACATGTAAATCATTATCTGATCTGTGACACTTTTTGACCTGGGTCATGGCACATGATTGTAGAAAATACAACACATATTACATTCTACCGTAAAAATTATTTTAAAAAAAATCACATTTACATGCATACCAAAAACTTTTGGAATTTGGTGTCATGAAACAAGACCCTAATTAAATACCAAGATGCTCATAACTCGAGAACTTATCAAAAAAATCTGCACATATGCCAGATAAATTCAGTAAACCTCTGCTTACAAAAAATATTTCCACCGTCTGGTTTTTATGTATTTAATGGATATATCCAATCAATAAAGAAAACCACTTCTTCCTTTCACATTCATACAAGCAGGGCATCACGAGAACTTCATATCTCCAAGAAATCTTTTAACAGGGTTAGTCTTCTTTTCTCCGCTACATCCATTTGGTTTTCTAAATCCTATGAAAGAGAGAAAAAAATCAAAAATGTCCCTTAAATTATGTGCATAATCATTAACTTTATGTAAGTGCTGCTGAGTATATGTATCTCAAGTCTGAGAAAGGTTCTTTAAAAATATTTTTCAGTTTACCATGGGTAGTGTGTCATAACTCAAAACTTCTTCATATCAGGGGGAAATATATTTTTTTTTCCTCACAGAATAATTTAACATGTTTATACAAGTACAAAGAAAAATCAATACCAAGATATTTGAGTACGTACAAAATAAAGAAAAGATAACTCTTTAAAAGGATACTTTTACCAGATGTTCTGTTATATTTCTTAATTTTTCTATTTCATTAAAATTTCTTTCTTTCATCATTTAATTAAAATTTATAAATATTATTTGTATTTTCAGATCTTCAGGGGATTCTATAAAACAGTTTCCAGTTTGATTTTGTTTTGTTTTTTCTTTTGTAGATTCAAAAAAGTACTTCATTAATTATTTTGTGTGTGTGTGTGTGTGTGTGTGTTTTTCAATTTTTAAGTTTTAATAACATGACTTTCATCAGAATTTAAAGCATATAGCATTGGAAAATAGGAGGTTTAACACGAATCAAATATTTTGAAATTATATAAAAAAAAAAGTCTAATACGTTGAAAAATGATTTCACTGGATATTGAACCTACAAATAGAAAGAATGCATGCAGCTCACATTGGTGTAGAGAACCAACTTAAGTATAAAATATGCAACGTTTACTTTAAAATTTAATAAAACACAACTACACAGTTGGGTGTATATACAAAATAAATGTAACATATCAAACACATACACATGTATTAAAATACATATTGATAATACTGATTTGCCCTGCTATTTATCTACTTACACCTCTGTCTGTTATTTCTGCTCGCTCTACTTTCCATGATAAGTTTTCAACCTCTGCCTCTAATTGTGCCTGCTGGTACTCAAACTGAAAACAGAACATACCCTTACATACATAGACATCCTAGAGACTGGATTACGAAATATAATCAGTTAATGATCCAAGAATCATATATAATTGTACAATATTAACAACAGGCACAAAAGTTATGAAGGTTAATTAATCAGATCTGATTGGTTGAGAGAGAATTTTCAACCCATGATCAATTTGGCCCACCATGAGAAATGAATCTTGGAATCAGGAGATATTAACTTCATAATTTTGGAAGAGGGCTAGCTGCTTATTATATGCTAGAAGAAAAGGAATTTCAACAATCATTCTGAATTTCCTATGTATGTCCATGTTGTTTCCGCCCTGGTACCAAAATCCTTAACCCAGTGATCTTGAATTTCTAAGCTCATCTTATACATGTATATACAAAGAATTTACCTGCTACTAAATTTTCAAGGTGTACTAATGTATTTTGAATATATGACCAATAAAGTCCAGGGGCCTGTTTTACAAAAGAACTTACAACTAAGACCAACATTTAATTCTGTTTATAACTTTCTTATTTACATTGTATTGAAAATGGTTTTAATCATTTTAAGGTAGAACCTACATGTTTGTCGGAAAAGTCTTTGTCACAAGATTTCCAAACTTAAGATGATAAATTAGCACTCGCTTATTAATCAGTTAAAAATATATGGTATGTTTCCTTATTATTAAATGTAGCCTGTGGAACTTGGAATGATAATTTTACACTGCGACTACATATTTTCAGCCATTTTTAGGGGTACTGGTCATAAAGAGAATATAGAAAATCACAAAAATACTTCTTCAAACATCATCGTTTATAGATTCATTAATTGAACCATATTAAGCAATATTAGTCAAGAATAAATTCTTTTTTATTCAAATGACATCATGACAATGAAAATTAAGTACAGATTTCAATGAATATAAGCAAATGTGCTCAATATTTTTTGAGTCAAGTTACCACCTAAATTTGTAAATATTTTTCAAAAGTCTTTGTCAGAAATTTTCAATCTTTAATATGATGAAGAACATACCCAAATAATTACAAAAAGTGATTAATATATACATCTTTCTCCGCAAACAAATGAGAGACACTCTATTTATAAATACTTCTTTTGTTGACCTTTTTGCACTTACACAGGATTTAATTATTAAATGACTGTTTTGGGGTTACGTTCAGATTTACAATGTGAATATTTATCAAAAAATGTATTTTTTTTATTTAAAAATATAAGATTCTAGGGAAACATTTTTATTATACACCAACCATTATGAATAATTAACAAATAATTATGAAAATGGAATGCACGACATTTCATGATAGACATTACAAAACTTACACAGAATTTTTAAAAGGTCTTTGACTCAGACACATTTCATCAAGATACTGTACTAATTAGATTTCTTAGGATTTTTGATTTCCTTCAAAATACCGTATAACGGGTATTTTCTGCGGTTGTCCAATTTCTGTGGAATTTTGCGGATAGGACAAATCCGCAAAAATTACAATCGCAAAATATTTTTCAATATTTCTTCAGATATATATTTATACATGCAAGTATGATAAGTTATGCGTATGTCACAGGATTCTCGTTAACGCAAGAACCTGCGTACTGGATGCAGCAAAATTATTTGGGACGCAACCTTTTTAAAAACGATGCGTCCACAGACTCATGAGTGGACACGTCCTCGTTAGCGAGAAAATTTGGGCGTCATCGAAATTCGAAGATTTTAGATGTCAGGATTTGTCCAAAACATATTGAATCAAAACTTTCCTGTAAATAATATCAATTTAATTAATAATTTTATACAAAAGTATCTTTTCTTGTACCTATTTCTTTATTTTATATGGATATACATGTACAAGTAAATGACTAAAAGAGATTTCACAATTATTAGTCCAAACTCCGATAGCTGCAAACAACACATATTAGCTTTTCTTTCTTTCTTTAACACTTTTTTTTCAATCTTGTGTTTTATCTTGAGACCATAATTACTGCTTGTATACACAATGTGGCTTGATTGTCTCGTGAATTTCACTCAATGCAGACGACTGACAGGATTAGTTAGCCTCATTGCACATGGCACCTGTGATTCTATACGGTCAACTTTAGGTTACTTGATTATGCAACTATTTGTTTAAGCTTAAAAAATAAACACCAGGTTAATTTTAATGGCAATTAACTATAAGCGTATTTTTAGAATATGGCTTGGATGCATTAATTATCTATATATTTAAATATTTTAATAGATCGCATAAAACGTTTGTTACAATGTAGAATAAAGATTTTTATTGTTGTTTGGGTGGACTGATACTGTAATAATTCATTTCAATTGGGACTCGACATAATTTTACTAAAGACTAACTAAAAGATAGTAATTTAATTAAGCTTAATAGCTTAATACCAGTTCTGATGCACCTTTGATCAATATGTCTCAATGAATTTATAAAACGTAAACATGGCAGCTATTTGATAATTCTTAGAGTTTGGTGATCCTACCCAGTAAATAATTTTTTGCGGTATAATGCAACCACAGAAATTGAAAACGCAGAAATTAATTTGCTATCTTGTAGGGGTTAAATCGCAAAAATTTCCAACCGCAGAAAATACCCGTTATACGGTAGTTGCATGCCATTCACATTATCACAGTTGTGTAACTTCATTACATGAGACAGTCTTGGAGAAAGTACAGGAACAAGAGGCCCATGGGCCACATCACTCACCTGAGTAACTTTGGCCATGCTGTTCATTACCAGACTTCCCCCCTTGTAATACCTATTGTGGCCCCGCCCTACCCCCAGGGGCCATGATTTGAACAATTTAGAATCTACACTACCCCAGGATGCTTCCACATAAGTTTCAGTTTTTCTGGTCCAGTGGTTCTTGAGAAGATTTTTAAAGATTTTTCCTATATATTTCAATGTAAAACTTGGGATTCCCTATTGTGCCCCCCCCCCCCCATCCCCGGGGTAATGATTTGAACAATTTAGAGTGTACACTACTTGAGGATGCTTCTATATAAGTTTCAGCTTTTCTGGCTCAGTGGTTCTTGAAAAGAAGATTTCTAAAGATTTTTCCTATATATTTCAATGTAAAACTTGTATTCCCTATTGTGGCCCCACCCTACCCCCGGGGGTCATGATTTTAACAATTTAGAAACTACACTACCCCAGGATGCTTCCACATAAGTTTCAGCTTTTCTGGCCCAGTGGTTCTTGAGAAGAAGATTTTTCAAGATTTCTCCTATATATTTCAATGTAAAACTTGGATTCCCTATTGTGGCCTCGCCCTACCCCCAGGGGTCATGATTTGAACAATTTAGAATCTACACTACCCCAGGATGCTTCCACATAAGTTTCAGCTTTTTTGGCTCAGTGGTTCTTGAGAAGAAGATTTTTAAAGATTTTTCCTATATATTTCAATGTAAAACTTGTATTCCCTATTGTGGCCCCACCCTACCCCCGGGGGTCATGATTTTAACAATTTAGAAACTACACTACCCCAGGATGCTTCCACATAAGTTTCAGTTTTTCTGGTTCAGTGGTTCTTGAGAAGAAGATTTTTAAAGATTTTTCCTATATATTTCAATGTAAAACTTGTATTTCCTATTGTGGCCCCACCCTACCCCCGGGGGTCATGATTTGAACAAATTAGAATCGACACTACCCAAGGATGCTTCCACATAAGTTTCAGCTTTTCTGGCCCAGTGGTTCTTGAGAAGAAGATTTTTCAAGATTTCTCCTATATATTTCAATGTAAAACTTGGATTCCCTATTGTGGCCTCGCCCTACCCCCGGGGGTCATGATTTTAACAATTTAGAATCTACACTACCCCAGGATGCTTCCACATAAGTTTCAGCTTTTCTGGCTCAGTGGTTCTTGAGAAGATTTTTAAAGATTTTTCCTATATATTTCAATGTAAAACTTGTATTTCCTATTGTGGCCCCACCCTACCCCCGGGGGTCATGATTTTAACAATTTAGAATCTACACTATCCCAGGATGCTTCCATATAAGTTTCAGCTTTTCTGGCCCAGTGGTTCTTGAGAAGATTTTTTAATGACCCCACCCTATTTTTGTCTTTTCTTGATTATCTCCCCTTGTAAGGAGACTTGGCCCTTTATTCTAACAATTTAAACTCCCCTTCCCCCAAGGATACTTTGTACCAAGTTTGGTTAAAATTGGCCCAATGGTTCTTGAGAAGAAGTTGAAAATGTGAAAAGTTTACAGACGGACGGATGGACAGACGGACGGACGACGGACAACGGGTGATCAGAAAAGCTCACTTGAGCTTTCAGCTCAGGTGAGCTAAAAAGTAACATTAAATTAATTATGACGTCATAATGGATCTAGCACCAAAAAGACAGTCTAAACTCATTTACTCGATATGACGTCATACGACAAAGGTTCAACGTTAAAAGAATGTAGTAAGGTATTTTAACACTGGCAATTTTAAACAGAATATTTAATTTTGCAAAATTTTACAGTCAACTGAAGTTTTTGGTCTTAGTCGTAAGTTCTTTTGTAAAACTGGCCCTTTGGGCCTAATCTCTGGGACCCAGGGACATAAATTCCTCAATTTTGAAAAGGACTAGCTGCCTAAAACAACCATGAAAAAAATTTGCCTACTGAGAGTCAAGGTGTAGAGTAAATTCTTATAATTGCATGAAATTCTTTGATGGTTTTGGCCCTATCCCTCATGACCAGATCATGGACTTATGCCCTGGGGGCATGGACAATGAAATGCTCAATTTCATTTCTCTTTACACACAGATGCTATAAAGATCATTTCAGTCCTTTAAGAAAAGAATTTAGTAATGTTTTAATATTTGCACACATTCCACAACCAAGGCCAGAAAATATAGCAGTAAGTCACGTGATGACTCTAGTGAAATAAAAATCCCAATAACGTTTTGTAATACATGTTAATCTTAATTCAGATTTCTAGTCATTACATGACATGTACTTTGTACTACTCTTTTAATCTTTGATGCTCAAGAAACAATGTACACATCCATGAATGGAGAACCTTTTTTTGACAGTGATGGGAAAGGGGGGGGGGGGGGGTTAATAACATACATACCAGCTGTTTCCTGGCTCCCTTCTCCATATAGTAGGCATAGGGATATGTATACTGAAGAGTGTACCGGCACTGAAAATAGAAAAGGATGTGAATGTTTAATTCACAGAATCATGAAAATTATTAGAAAATCTCTAGCACAAATTTCAGATGGTTACCTGCTTGCTATTACTTATTCAAAACACTGCAGCATGCAGTACTTTATTTTTGGAATATTCAGCTTGTTAGGTGCTTAAAATAATTTACTCTAAGTCTACAGTATGCATACTTATTAACAAACTTTTTAAAGACAAAAACCAAACATGTTTTATGTTTAAAGCACTGTGATTTTTCATGATTGTTACTTCCTCTTAAAGTTGTACATAAATAATATATTTTTATACTAGTCTTATTTAAGCAGAGCATCGGCTTAGCTTTTCAAGCAAAGCATCATCTTACCTTTTATAAGCAGTGCATAGGCTTACCTTCCTATGCAATATATCAGTTTACCCTTCTAAACACTATGGCACCTTTACCTTTTTAAGCAGTGCATCAGCTTATGTGTCAAGCAGTTTTCAAGCACTGTGACAGCTTACCTTTTTGAGCAGTGTGACAGCTTACCTTTTTGAGCAGAGTGGCAGCGTCTAGTAAATACTGCCAATCTATCCAGGTGCCTGTGTTCTTCATGACCTTGTCTTGGATCTTTGAGGTGATTCTTTGAAGAGTTTGCTCCTCCAACTGGAGACTTTTGGCATGGTTTTCATACTACAAATTATTTCATATGAAAATTAAGATCACTGATTCCTAAATATGAACTGAAATAATGCATATAACAGCTATGTGTAAGTTACATGTTCGCAATTTTTGAAGATATGTTCTTACATATACTAGTATCTATCATGATATTTGAATTTCAAGTTGTGCATGTTTTATATCGTTACACTGTACATTTATTTTTATATTTGACCTCTGCAACATGAATCCCCTTAAAAACTACTAAAGTAACAACGATACTCATTTATTAAGAAATCAATAAATGTACATAATTTTACAGCATCAGTTACTTCAAATATTAGCTGCACCTCTACTTCTTTTCTCCTTTTTTTCTTGTATAAGTAGTGTTAAAATATTCACCAAAAAATTAGTATCACAATTAAAAAAAAAAACCCACAAACTGTTAAGTACAGGTCCACGTAACAATCAGGCAGCCTATATATAAAAGGTGATACATGGGGGTTCTCAGAAATTAATGGTTTTTCACTCACAGTTTTTTCTCGGGCTATAATCCATGTATGTGAAAGGAAAAATATTTTGGGTCATTGTTACTATGGAAACCTGGGCAAAGAAATTTCCCTAGCAACCGGCCAATTTCTCTCTGTAGACTGACGAAATTACACTCATTTTGAAGGCTTTATACGAAACGTAAATAAAATCATTTTTTCTTATGTGTAATACTTAAAGAAAGATACATTTTTAAAGTGTTTTGTCAATGTAATAAAAAGAAACTACATGCTCTAATATATTTGCTATAGACACAGTTAAAGATACAAATTTGCCATTTTTTTGCTGATTCAGCATTTTGCGTGATTTTAGCAAAAATCAAGTCGATATTATTCATTTCACCATCTTAATACAATTGTTTTATCTATTTCATGTAAAACCACTGGAAAACCTCTCTAAGAATTTGAAATAAAAAGTTTTGCAAATTTGAAAATTCCTATCTGTTGCTAAGCAACAAAAATGGATGGTTGGATAAATTAAAAAAGGGGAAAATGTAAAGCATTGGAAGAAAAATCGAATAAAATTGTAATCATTATTTAACAAAAACAAAGTTTAAAATAATAAAATATAAAATATTCTTCCTTGTGTACTGTAGACTATTTTACAATAAGCTATCTCTATGGCAACAACACATTTTCCTTAGCAACAAAGCATTGAAAGTTATTTTTAGCACATATTCATCTAAATTTTTAAAAGATTATCTGATTCTTATGGTTGAATTGCTATTGCCCAGAATTGACATTGTCAAACTGGTTTTTTAAAAGTATTTTTAAGTTTATTCATCCATAGCAACAGAACTTGTCCACATAGCAACAAATGTATTTATAAAGAATCAGTATGTAGCAATTCCTCAATAACAATATGTGTCTTCAAAAGATGTTTACTAGGCAAAAACATTCTACTTATGGGAATGAAAAATCACTTACTTGACTAATGACTGGTATTTTTTTTCACTTTCAAATGGTAAATCAATGACCTATTTTTCATGCTAGTGGCTTATCAAGACTTCATAGTCTTAAAATTTCTGACAAATTCCTGAAAATTTTGCATCATGACCAATATATGCAAAAAAACTGGACAGTCTAACTTCTGACAAGTTTTAAAAAATGCAGTAATTTCGTTTAGAAAAAACTATTGACTTTTGATGAGGTCTGCTTGTGACAATGCAGAGCTGGTGAGGTGTTGGTTGACCGAGGCCGAAGGTTGAGGTTAATCAGTTCCTGACAAAGTCCGTAAAGAAACAAGTAGGCCGAATTCAAACGTCAATAACTGTATTTTAAATTATCAGGAATTTTTACATTTTTCATGATCTGCCTATTTTCTCCATGAAATATATAAAGGCCCATGATATACTTAGTCTTTTGTTTTTTACCAAGATAACAATTATATTTGAACAGCTTAAACTGTTTAACAAAGGTGGAATATAATATATTAAAACAATAAATATTCAAACCATTTACTTATAAGGAGTTTAGATGGTTCAATACAGAAGTCTGCGCGCAATTTGACTGGCTGATACAAATGTAAGCAAAGCTATCAAGTTAGCTAAGATGGAAAAACGAAATAAACAAACTCTTTGTAGCGAGACTACTGTCTCCTGGATAACGAGATTAAAAAACTTATTTTGATGAGATAACTAAATAATGTGTAATAGTGAGATACTAACTCAAGATAGCTAATTAATTATTATAAAAAGATGACATACTCGTTAGATAACAAACTCGTTGTAACGAGACTACTAACTCCTTGAGAATGAGATTTGAATGATATTATAATATGATACAAACTATACTAACTTGTTATAAAAACAAGATAGGGAATTCATTTTAATGAAGTACATATAGCTAATTCATTATTTAAGAAATGAATTTAAAAGCTACCCAAGTTATACTGTATAAACCATTTACGATAGCTCAGTCGGTAGAGCGCTCGCTCCATGATCGGGAGGCCGTGAGTTCGAATCTCGGCTGTGACTGACTTAAATCAATCAAAAATGGGTAGCAATTGTTCCATCACCATACGCTCTGCACTTTGAAGTGAAATTTGCGGGTCCTTCGGATGAGACCTTAAAAATCGAGGTCCCATGTCACGGCAGGCATTGGCACGATAAAGATCCCTCATTGCTTAATGGCCCTGCGTTCCGAGTAAAGGTCAAAATTTGAAGCCCTTCACCGGTATATGGTGACGTCTCTATATGAGTGAAAAAATTCTCGAATGGGACGTAAAACAACATACAATCAATCAATCAATATACTGTATAACCTGGGTTGGGACAGTTTATGCTTTATAAGCCGCGAAGCGGTTAATAAAAAAGCGTAATCTGTTCCAACCCAGGTTATACCAGTATAACTTGGACAGCTTTTAAATTCTTTCCTTATAATTTAATTTACCGTCATTAAACAAAGACAATAAGGCAATTTTCCTTCAAAAATGCCTTCTAATTGAACATATTTTTAAAGTAACGTCAAGTGGAATAATAAGTTTTTGACGTAAGTCATTGTGATGTAGGCAACATATGTTATACGATATAAACTAATTCTTCTATCCATTCAAATGACGTGTTACAACCAGAATTAAATTATTACGAGATAACTTACTCTCGATAGAGAATTATTAACTAGCCTAGTTATATCGAGATATTTACTTGTAATAACTAATTATTCATTTTGATATAACGAGCTTAATGAAAAAATAAAAAAAAATTAATGAAAATAATATTAGTGTTGTTCTATGAAGTAAACAATTAAAGTTTGTGCTCTAAGCTTGTTTTTTATCTCCCAATTGTTCCGATACGCAAGAGACGCTCTAGGTACGAACAATTTCTAAAAGGAGGCAAGCTACTGACAAAAAAGTCAACAGTCTTCTTTAAAGTCATCATTTCTATGGTCAATACAATGACCTTGTCAGCAAATGCAATCTATCTTAATTTTGAATCCAATGCTGACTGATGCTTTTTACAGTAATTGTATTTTGATTATGTCCTTTATATTCCTTTTATAGCTTTGATCCATTGTTATGGCCCCTCTATTCTCCTGGGTGGTCATGATTTGAAAAAATTAAGCCTACATTACCTGATTATGCTTTTATATAATTATGACCAATCATGGCTTTGTTGCTCTTGAGAAGAATTTTAAAGATTTCCCCTATGCTTTCATATGTAACACTTTGATTGCCCATTGTGGCCCCACCCTACGCCCCGGAGTCATGATTTGAAGAAACTTGAATCTACACTACCCGAGGATGCTTCTACATAAAAATGGCCAATCATGGCTTTGCTCATCTTGAGATGAAGATTCTAAAAGATTTTTCTTATGTATTCCTATGTAAAACTTTGATCACCTATTGTGGCCCCACCCTATCTCCGGGGTCATGATTTGAACAAACTTGAACCTACACTACCTGAGGATGCTTCCACATTTCTTTCATATTTTCAAGCACGGTGGTTCTTCAGAAGATTTTTAAAAGATAAATTTTTCATATTTTAATTATTTTCCCCTTGGAATAATGCCTGATCCTTCATCAAAACAAACTTGAATCCACTTTTCCCAAGTATTTTGTGGCAGTTTGATTGAAAATGGTCCAGTGGTTCTTGACAAGAAGGCGAAAATGTGAAAAGTTTACAATGACAACAATGACAACTACGACAGACAAAGGACAAATTTCTGTCAGAAAAGCTCACTTGATCCTTCGCTCAGGTGAGCTAAAATTCACTAGTATTACAAACTTCTAATTTATTTCCCCCAGATCATTGTTGATTTTGAGGTCACAAGGTCAAAAGTCAAGGATCAAACAAATGTAACCCAGACAAGAATTTTATTTTTACTTTTCAGCCAGTGATCTTTAACTTGCAGGAATGATCTTTATTCAATAACAGGACACACCCTTGGATCATAATCAAGCTCTGTGTCAAGTAGAGCTTCCAGTGAATCTCCATTACAATGTTGGAGTTCAGACAAGCATTTAATATGTTTTTGTCAGTGACCTTGAACTTGCCAACACCAACATGAGTCAAGGTCATGACAAACCCACAGGTCAAAAGCATTCTCTGTACAATATGTAAGCCTCTAGTAATTCTAAATTTCAAAGTCATAGGCCAGACCAGAATTTTATACTTTTCTGTATATGACCTTGAACTTGCTAAAAGGAGTTTGGGTTAAGGTCGGTTTTACTCATAGGTCAAACAATCTTTGTACCAAGTATGAGCTTCCAGGAATTCTCTATTGCATAATTTTTCTTCCAGTGACTACTTACTTGTCTGATATACCTTGGGTCAAGGTCGACACACACTTTCGGATCATCAGCAAATTTTATTCTATGTATGACCTTCCAGAAATTCGCCGTTATAAAATAACATTGCCCAGACAAAAATTTTAAAATTTTTCAGCCAGTGACCTTGAACTAACCAAAATGACCTTTGGTAAAGGTCTTAACACACGTGGGTCAACAAAGCTATCACTGTACCAAGTATGAGCATCCAATGATTCTCCGTTCGAAAGTTTTTGACCGGACAACAAATTTTATACATTTTTTTTTGCTAGTGACCTTGAACATGCTGGCAAGACCTTGTGTCAAGGGCATGACACCCCCTTGGGTCATAAGCAATCTCTGTACAATGTATGAACTTTCAGTGTTTTTCAGTAACAAAGTTATAGCAAGGAGAAGATTGCATGGAGTTTTTCAATAACAAAGTTATAGCAAGGAGAAGATGGCATGGACAGAAAGACACACAGTAAAGGGATTTCTGTATAATACACACCCCAAACCCCCCCCCCCCCCAAACTTTGCTTATGTGGGATATTTGGATATTAGTTACATTTTCGATAGCATAGGAAGATTCAACAAAAAACCAGAGTAGTCAGTCGGACTGCACAAATTCAGTTTTACTGCTAAAATGTAAACTTTCATGAATAGATTTATGTGCTAAAAATTACTTTCCTTGCCTTGTTGCAGAAAATTTTCTGTTTCCATGGAGATGGAAATTTTTAAAAAGTCATAAGTTTACATAGAAAAATATTATATATTTTATTCTTTTAAAATTTGTTTTTGGTACTCAATAATTACAATTTAAACATTTTTTATTGACTTTTGAATTCGACCTACTCCTGCCCATACGGACTTTGTCAGAAACTGATTAACCTCAGCCTTCGGCCTCGGTCAATCAATACCTCACCAGGTCTGCATTATCACAAGCAGACCTCATCAAAAGCCAATAACTTTTTTAACAAGATTACTGCATTTTTTTTTTTTTAACTTTTCAGAAATTAGACCATCCAGTGTTCATCGCAAATATAGGTCACGATGCAATTTTTTCAGGACTTTGCAAGAAACTTTAAGATTCTCAAGTCTTAATAAGCCACTAGCATGAAAAATAGGTCATTGATTTACCATTTGAAAGTGAAAAAAATACCAGTCATAAGTCAAACAAGTAATTTTTCATTTCAATAAGTAGAATGTTTTGCCTAGCTAACATCTTTAAAGACACAGATTTTTGTTGAGGACTTGGTACATACTGTTCTACATACTACATTCTTTATAAAATACATTTGTTGCTATGTGGACAAGTTCTGTTGCTATGGATGAATAAACTTAAAAATACTTTAAAACATACAGTTTGACAATGTCGATTCTGGACAATAGCAATTCAACCATAAGAATCAGATAATCTTTTAAAAACTTAGATGAATATGTGCTAAAAATAACTTTCAATGCTTTGTTGCTAAGGAAAATTTGCTGTTGCCATGGAGATAGCTTATTGTAAAATAGTCTAGAGTATACAAGGAAGAATATTTTATATTTTATTATTTTAAACTTTGTTTTTGGTAATCAATGATTAAAATTTATACGATTTTTCTTTCAATGCTTTACATTTTCCTATTTTTTTTAATTTATCCAACCATCCATTTTTGTTGCTTAGCAACAGATAGGAATTTTCAAATTTGCAAAACTTTTTATTTCAAATTCTTAGAGAGGTTTTCCAGTGGTTTTACATGAAATAGATGAAGCAATTGTTTTAAGATGGTGAAATGAATAATATCGACTCGATTTTTTGCTAAAATCACACAAAATGCTGAATCAGCAAAAAAGGTAAACATGTATCTTTAACTGTGTCTATAGCAAATATATTAGAGAATGTAATTTCTTTTTATTACGTTGACAGAACACTTTAAAAATGTATCTTTCTTATTACACTAAATAAGAAATATATATACTTTATTTACGTTTCGTTTAAAGCCTTTAAAATGAGTGAAATTTCGTCAATCTACAAAGAAAAATTGGCCGGTTGCTAGGGAAATTTCTTTGTCCAGGTTTCCATAGTAACAATGACCCAAAATATTTTTCCTTTCACATACACGGCTTATAACCCGAGAAATAACTGTGAGTGAAAAATCATTAATTTCTGAGAACCCAATGTATCACCTCCTGCCTGATTGTTACGTGGACCTGTACTTAATAGATACCCTTTCAAAGTAGAAGAGATATTTCTTGAGGGCTTCCCGGGCCTGGGCGTGGACAGACTCGTTAGCAATGTTTGGGTTCTCCTTGTAGCGGCTACATTCATAATACTCACTACCGTGGGCCTTCCAGTCACCCAGGCACATCCAACAGAAGTCAAACTTACATTTGGTACATTGCTAAAATGAACAGTTCAAGTAGACTGAGTTATTTTGAATTCTACAAAGAACATGAATACTTTTTCATTGCATCCTGTGACATGTAATCATTGTCAATTCTTTGTGACAAATTTTGATGTGGAAATGAGCATTTATTCACTATAAACAATTCAGGACTATTAAATTATTTGAATTTCTTTTAATACTGATTATAAATGCAAATCACAAAAAATTTTTAACAATATTTTTCTCTGTTTCAGCAATAATTTGAAAAGTGGAATAGTAGAAAATTTCATAGTTTTCATGAAATACACATACCATGTGATTACAACCTCCATTTTTCTCTATACAGACATGACACTTTGGGCACTGAAAAAAAAAGAAATTCAAAACAAAGTTCTAAACTAATTTTCTTGCATACAAACAAACAATGTTTTAAATGGACACATTTACACTCCATTTCTGATTCAAGGAGAAGCAATGTAAAAGTCCTAAGATTTTTTACATAACGTACATCTTTGGTGTGAGCACTAATGTAATTGGCTGTCTCTGAATCATCAGCACACTTTGTCAGCCACTTTTTGATTGTTCCACAATCAGTGGGAGCATGGTAGTCTATGCCACAACGAAAACTGGAAAAGAAATAGTCAAGAGTCACTAAATTAAGTTCTATTGCTTTTTTAAAATGTTTATATAATAATCTTACTTATATGTTCTTCATGTACATTTTTACTTTAATTTTTTAGAGAAATTTAGAATGCAATTGATGCAATTTTGAATTAATCATACAGTAACCAGTCACTATTTGGGACATATCTTTCAGTTAACTAAAGGATGGATCATTTAGTTGACCTCAAGCAAAAAGTCACTTGTTTTATTTATTTCAACTAATTTTCAGACAAAATAATTTGAGATATCTTTAATAAAAGATGTACATTTTAAACATTGAAATAAAGAGGTCTTATCTCCAATAATTTTTTTTTGAATTTTTTCTTCTTTCACTGCATTAAAAGAAATATAAGCTTGTGAACTCTGTTATATGAACAACCTGTCCAGATCAGTTCTTACCAAAATGTGGTTTTGCAGTGACTGCATTCCACTTTCTTAGACTTCAATTCCTTAGATCTAACTACCACAGAACAATTTGGACCCGGGCAAAACCGTAACTCTGGGTGGGCCTAAAAATGCAAAGAAAAAAATGTTTTGAAAAATTAAATACAAAGGAATTTTACAAATGAAAATGAGTTTCCTTTATCCTAAAGTGTGATTAGATCATTTATAAATTATCAAACAAAAACCTCAACATGGTCTGTGAATGACATTTGTGTGTATTTGTCTCGTAATTCAGGTTTAGACAAAGCATTGCACAGGAAATCTTCCGGAACTAGAATATGGCAGTCCTTCTGCATGCACTCAATACCTAGAAATAAGATTTATATCAGCCTCTTACAATTTGTTCTACAAAAATAATTTTCAAAAGAGATAACATGCATCAATCCTTTTTAGCTCTCTGTGTTTAAACTTCAAAGATGAGCCTTTATGTAACTATAGAAAATTTCTGTGTAAATTTATCTGCTTTGAAAATAAAAATTGTTCAAAATATAAAAAAAAGTAAAGTACACTCTCCCTTTTAAAAGGAATTGCAAAAAAAAACAAGAGGCCCATGGTCCACATCGCTCACGAGTAACTTTGGCCATGCTGTTCATTACCAGACTCCCCCCTTGTAATACCTATTGTGGCCCCACCCTCCCCCCAGGGGCCATGATTTGAACAATTTAGAATCTACACTACCCCAGGATGCTTCCACATAAGTTTCAGTTTTTCTGGTCCAGTGGTTCTTGAGAAGATTTTTAAAGATTTTTCCTATATATTTCAATGTAAAACTTGGGATTCCCCCTATTGTGGCCCCGCCCTATCCCCTGGGTCATGATTTGAACAATTTAGAGTGTACACTACTTGAGGATGCTTCCACATAAGTTTCAGCTTTTCTGGCCCAGTGGTTCTTGAGAAGAAGATTTTTAAAGATTTTTCCTATATATTTCAATGTAAAACTTGTATTTCCTATTGTGGCCCCGCCCTACCCCCGGGGGTCATGATTTGAACAATTTATAATCTACACTACCCCAGGATGCTTCCACATAAGTTTCAGCTTTTCTGGCCCAGTGGTTCTTGAGAAGAAGATTTTTAAAGATTTTTCCTATATATATTTCAATGTAAAACTTGGATTCCCTATTGTGGCCCCGCTCTACCCCCGGGGGTCATGATTTAAACAATTTAAAATCTACACTACCCCAGGATGCTTCCACATAAGTTTCAGCTTTTCTGGCCCAGTGGTTCTTGAGAAGAAGATTTTTAAAGATTTTTCCTATATATTTCAATGTAAAACTTGTATTTCCTATTGTGGCCCTGCCCTACCCCCGGGGGTCATGATTTGAACAATTTAGAATCTACACTACCCCAGGATGCTTCCACATAAGTTTCAGCTCTTCTGGCCCAGTGGTTCTTGAGAAGAAGATTTTTAAAGATTTTTCCTATATATTTCAATGTAAAACTTGGATTCCCTATTGTGGCCCCGCCCTACCCCCAGGGGTCATGATTTGAACAATTTAGAATCTACACTACCCCAGGATGCTTCCACATAAGTTTCAGCTTTTCTGGCCCAGTGGTTCTTGAAAAGAAGATTTTTAAAGATTTTTCCTATATATTTCAATGTAAAACTTTGATTCCCTATTGTGGCCCCGCCCTACCACCTGGGGTCATGATTTTTACAATTTAGAATGTACACTATCCCAGGATGCTTCCACATAAGTTTCAGCTTTTCTGGCCCAGTGGTTCTTGAGAAGAAGATTTTTAAAGATTTTTCCTATATATTTCAATGTAAAACTTGTATTTCCTATTGTGGCCCCGCCCTACCCCGGGGGTCATGATTTGAACAATTTAGAATGTACACTATCCCAGGATGCTTCCATATAAGTTTCAGCTTTACTGGCCCTGTGGTTCTTGAGAAGAAGATTTTTTAATGACCCCACCCTATTTTTGTCTTCTCTTGATTATCTCCCCTTGTGAGGGGACTTGGCCCTTCATTTTCACAATTTAAATTCCCCTTTACCCAAGGATGCTTTGTACCAAGTTTGGTCAAAATTGGCCCAGTGGTTCTTGAGAAGAAGTAAAAAATGTGAAAAGTTTATGACGGACGGACAGACAGACAGACAGACAGACGGACAGACAGACGGACGGACGGACGACGGACAAAATGTGATCAGAAAAGCTCACTTGAGCCTTCGGCTCAGGTGAGCTAACAAAACACACCCCCCCCCCCCCAATAATGGGTGCAGATCAACAGAAATGGGGGAAAGTTTTACATGTATAGCTATTTATTCAGTCAACTTATGCTAAACATGACTGTGGGACAAGGTTGGGAGTATGCTTGACCTGAACTTGTAAACTTACCTGTGGTAATTCCCTGTTTGATTTGTATCTGGAAGTACAAATCCCAGCAGTTCTTACAGAAGATGTGTCCACATGTCAAACAGCTGAATGTCTTAGATGGAGCCTGTTCAAAACAAACACTGCACTCCTTCTGACCCCCGACAGCCTCATCCTGAAATAATGATGTTCATAAACTTAAATGTGTTCTAACAAATATAACAGTGATTTTGTAGAGTTCTGGGCATCTAGTTAACATATATTCAATAGATTCTTCGCCACATTGCATATACCTTCATTTATTACATTTACATTTTACTAAAACAACTTTATCTAATTAGCTATAAGGATCAAAAAGAAAACCATCAAAAATGTACTAAACAGAAAATGTAATTTTGTAGTTGGTTTAATATAGAATTTATTTCATTCATGAGACAGGATTTTTGATATTTTTGCTTGTACTTTACACTTGTGAAAATTTCAAAATCCTACCCCACTCAAGAATATTCCATATCCAACTATAAAACAATAAACATCCTCTATTGCTCTTCTAATTTTGGATTGTTCAGGATGGACACATTTCTGATAATTCTCATTGATCATGATGATTGTTCATTTATTGTATTTATACATGTATTATTTCACCATCTGAATAAAATGCAGATTATTTTAAACATAGTCTTTTCTCTGATAAGGCCTACATTATTGTTAAAATTTATTTTATCTAGACTCTTTTACTATGAATGTTACTTATATATATTAGTTCCTCACCTGATGTTTAATTGCAGGCATGATCTTGGAGTCTACCAACAACTTAGAAGGGCTCTTCTTGTGTCTGAAAATTACAGTTCTCATGAACAATTCAGAAAGTCATAATTCTTACAGATAAATTTGTAGAACTTGATTATACATCTGTATTTCATTTATAACCTCTACGCTACTTCCTTCAAAAGAATAGTACAGTAGGTATACAATTCTACTTGCAAGTATCTGATTTAAAAGAAAACCCAGTCTTGAACATAGAATAATTGCTATTAATGTAATCAAAAAGACAAAAACATATTCATTTAGTCAATGTGCTTGTTCACAAACTTAAATTTATTCAGCATATCCATCATGCTTGCCTTGTATTCAATTTGTTGAGCAAACATTTCTTTTATTTAAAACTGTAATAAAACATAGTGTAAATTGACAGGCTTTGTACCTATTTGCAAGTGTCTTCTAGTGGATACTTACTGTTCAATAATGGAATCTTTCTGCCAGCCATGTACTTGTAGCAGCATTTTGGCAAGGTATGGATCAATCTGCAAAATCAAGAAAGATTTTAAAAATCAAAATGAATGTATCACCTGATAAATCTTCAGTAAATATCTCCAACCTGGTAAGAAGACAGAAGATATGCACCAGCACTGCATAAAACATTACTTCAATTTTCAATTTGGAAATTATCATTTAAAGACCCAGAGCAAAGATCTTTATATTTCTATTCAAAATGATTTAAGGTTTAATGAAATATACTGAAATATTGATAACAATTGAAATATAATTATTTTTAATTCCTATGAGAGTGCAGATACAGAGATTATCAGATAAGTCAAAATATACTTTATTCAATAATAAACAAAACAGAATTATGACTACAGTTCACTGACTTACCTTAAGAGCCCTACAGAGAACCTCCACCTCCTCGTTTAGTAAGCGCTCAACATCTTCCACCTGCAGAAGTTCGTATTCAAAGTACTCTGGGTCTTCGCTTTTCTTTGGCTTATCTATGTCAAGGTCATCAGTGTCATTATCATAGTAACCTCCATAATCATAATCATCATCATCCATATGATCAGAATGATCATAATCAGAGTCGTCTGACATAGACATCTGCCAAGAAAAAAACCAATCTATGAAAATATCTAATTAATATGTGTCCTTCTCAACAAAAACTGAAAACCCAATTGGCTTTTGTTTGGTTGGGATTTATTTTGTCAACTGTATGATTCTTACTTTCTATAAAACTAGATGAAATCCCACGCAAGCGCGGGGAATTGAATTTATACCACTACCGACAGAAAATATATTGTAGTTTCTACTGACTGCCTACAGGCTTAAAGCAGGAAGAAATACTTTGTTCAAAATCCCGCATAAAGTAGATGTACATCTCCACCCTGAAGGAATATATACAAATTTTACCGATAAATTTATCAGGAAACCCTAATACATGTATATGTAATAGTCGTTCGATGTTCATGCAGCTATATAATTGCCTCTTTTTTCTTTTTAACATCGGGCTCACTGCTGAATGATGTTCTAGAAGCTTCCGTCAATATTAAGATCAGTGAATGATGAGAATAATTTGCACATTTCCCTTTTTAATGGGTTATCACAACTTATTTCTTTTATATCATTTAAACCAAGTTTCGATTGAATTATTCAGTGATGACATTTTACGAAATAAATAAACGATTGCTTGTTGTCAGTTTCATTAAAAATTGCCAGTAACTTAGATTTAGATCTGCCAACTGGAAACGCCACCATACTCACGTTTTTGCTATTTCATGGCTATTTATAGAAAATGAAAGTAGACTTCAAATTTAATGTACGATACTTACTATGCGAGTGAAATCTAAATATAGTTTACGGACATCATTTTGTATATAAGTAAGAACTCTGGTGCACCCGTTTCAGAGTTTATTTGCAAAATTAATTAATTTATAAGTATAGATGGTCATTAATATGTACTAATAATAACTGGTCATGGATTTCTGTACTTGATGGTCCTTTCCAACAACTTTTTATGTAAAATTATAGATTATTCTCAATTAAAAAAGCTAATAACACATACAAATGTAAAACATTTAGCAGTCAGAGTATCAGGGGAAAAAATGGGCTTAACACTGCTCACAAAAATCAGGGAAGTTGTGTCCGAAAGAAATCTTTAACATTCAGTGCAGTGCAATTGGATGACAAATGGTTTTTTTTATTTAAAATCATATCAACATGTATTTGAAAACCATTTATACGCAATGCACAGTATACAATGAATTGAATGTGAATAATACAAACAGCTGTGGATTAATGATAGTATGGCTATTGGAAAACCGTTTATAATAATGATGACAGCGGAAGAGATCACACAGGTCCAAATTTCGTGAATGGTACACTTTAGAAATATCCTTACGCTGTAGCAATTTTATCTCTGTTACATCGCTAACTAAAAAATCGTAAAAATTGTATTCGTAAGAAGTTTTACTCAAGATTAAACCAGCTGATCAAGACAATGGTTTCCCATAGTAGATGACGCAAATCAGCCCTATAATTTTCATCAGAGTATTAAAGTCTGTTTTAATACAATTAATCTATAAATGATTTTCTTTAATTTCCCAAAGGAAAACCCTTTCGCTCACAAAATATCTGAATAAATACATTAAAAAGGCAAACAAACCTTCGTAACTTTTCTACACAATAGAATGTTTAGTACGGAAATGACGTCAAAAATGGTACATGCTTTAACAATTTGTACCTAAACTGTTTCGATGTGTTACAGAACGAAAATGATGTCGCGGAAAACTATATGTTTTCAGTACGGAAAGTGCAGAAGAATGAGAAAGTATAATAAAAATACTACTACATGTACTACTACTAATAATAATAGATTAAGAATTAAGCTGTGAATTTTGCATAATTGCGATATGTATTGCAATTTAGATACGATGGTCTTTTCTTATTTTATTTACCTCCATTTATAAGCAGAATGTATAATAACAATGAAAAATACCTTATCACAAAAAATGTTCTTGTTGATTTAACAACAGTTTTGCACCGAAATGCAACAACAGTAACCTTACTGTTTGGCACGATTGAAAACGTTTTTGAAATCTTAAATTTCATATTTTACTTTATAAGTATTTCGCCGATATATAGGTACTGAAAAAAAAAAAATATCACAATACATCATTTGTCAGCGAACCGCAATATACCGGAATATCAATATTATTGCGCATCCCTATAGCAAAAATAATTTGGAGCTTCTTCAGCTATCTCAGATTATTATACCCGGAATTGACTAAAGATGGATTTTTTCCACATATAAAAATCAATTTTTAAAGTATTAACAAGTAGACAATATCACTGATTAAACGAAATCTTTGACTGTCTTAATTTAGAAGCAAGGTAAAATCAGTCATTATCATTTTCATAGACGTAAAGCTGAAACAGTCTGTTTGCACAATGCAATCATGTACCAGATACCTAAAGCTTGAAAATTAATGCTAAAACTAATTAATTTCCCTTATCATAAATTTAATTTACTTCAGGAAGACATTTATACATGTATCACTTTGATTGTTTAATTTAGGAAATGAAAAACAAAACGTGATTTTTTTTTCCTGTGCTGCTGTCCACCAAAATATGTGCAGTCTCCTCTAGATTTTAATTTCAGTTAACCATTTCTATATGTCAAGTTGTGCAATTCAAAGATGAAAGGGAAAAAAAATACGATCTTTTAAAGTCCTATAACATCTCAGTATAAAGGGCATTGAATTTTTAAGAAATGTACTTTTCAAGAATTTATTTAATCATTCAGGAAAAAAGAAACCATTGAAAGTGGAGCATATGGTTTAACACATCTGTAGGTGTTTAAATTGGTCAGTAATCCAAAGGTCGCTGGTACAAGCCCCGCTGTGGGCACCTGACAGGCCCGTAGAACGCGGTGGGGGGGGGCACTTTTTTCTGATTATTGTATTTTGTTATAGTAAATTTTCCTTTAGATGCTGATTGCTCCCCCCCCCCTTTCCAACCTTTTTATGCTGTAAGATCGAGCACTGGAAAATTCCAGAAATTGGACAGTAAATTTTCTTTTTTTTTTTTTAGCTTGTCAGATTTTCGGGAAATTGCCCCCCCCCCCCCCCCCCCCTTTGAAACCGTTGCCACGTACGGGCCTGCCTGATGTTGTGTGTTATGAAAAAAGGAAATAATATCAGGCTCTTATGTAGGATCGATTTTGAAAAGGGGGTCCATTATCGGGGAAAAATGACTGCTGAAAAAAATCTTTGACTAGCCCCCCCCCCACCCCCCACCCAGAGCATTCTCGTTACTTCAAATTTTGTTTTGGGGTTAGGGGAAGGGGATTAAGGTCCATTAATGGGGGGACCAACCCTTCAATGAATATATTTTTTCTAAATTAAAAGTAAAAATTTCCGTTCAGAAAAAGGGGTTGGGGGTTGGGGGTCTCATGCACCCCCCTCCCAAATCACCCCACCCCAAATTATATATTCCCTTATGTTATATGTTGGTAGCTAGTGAAATAGCTTTCCAGAAGTATTTGTATCAATTTCGAATTTCCCAATCTTTTTTAAAGACCAATTTAGAGGAAATAAATCCTTATACATGTATTGACCTGGAATGTCACGTGCAGGTAATATAACGTAGTATTTTTTCGACATTGTTGGCTCTCAGCCAATCAGAAAGAGAGGAATTATATAATAATAATACTGCCCCTTAAATAGACATGACGACCATTTGCAATTAAATGACTTAATTTTCAAGTCATATATAAAAAATTAAATATATCATAAAAATCCACTTCAATATGAACAGATTTCATGAGAATTTTTTTTATTCATAACATTGTATGAAAAAACGGGGGTTAGTAATGATTTTTTAAAGATAGGAAGTCTTATATGCAACTTTTCAGCAATATCTGCGATGTTTCACGCTTTCCGCATTTGAGAGAAATATATTTATTTTAACTCATATGGAGGATAATTTTAAGTCCATAGAATATATTTCAGAAATATACTATTGGTCTATGTTAAGGATTGATCGGATAATTTAAAAGCAAAATTGATATTGAACATTCTGTCTGTTTGATTCAGTAAACCAACCCCATCATGTACCCAATAGCTTCATCATGTATATAATAAAGTTTTGTCATCGCATGCCATATAGTTACTTGATACATGTAAGAAAGCGTATTAGGATCAATCTATGTGAAAAAAAAAAATTAAAAAGGAGTACATTAATTGTAATAACGCGAGGTGAAAAAGGCGTAATAACGTGAAGTGAAAAGGCTTTTTATTAACACATAAATATAGGATCTCCCATGATTTGTAGTTGGATATGATTTTATCCAACGAGTTGTGTGTTTTTTATCCCCGAGCCTTGGCGAGGGGATAAAAACACACAACGAGTTGGATAAAAGTCATATCCAACTACAAATCATGGGAGATTCTTTTTATCCCATGTTTAATACTTCACAACCAATGTTTTACACTGTTTTATATAGGACTCCACTTTATTTTACTTCATCGCGCTAACGCAAAAACCATTGTGACGTCACAACTGTGGATTATGAAAAAATTATCCAATGAGTCATATCCACGGGATAAAGGGGTAAACATGGGATAAAAAAACGTTATAGCGCCGTAATAAAAGGCGCTATATAGTGCGGAAAAAGGACCCAATTAATATCTTTCACAAAGGCGTCATTCGACGCAAAGGGACTGGAGTTATTACGCGAAAAAATCGTTATAATTATAACGCAAATAGACGTTAACACGACTTTTAAAAAGTTGTTATAAAGTGAAGAAAAAAGGCGTTGTAACGCGAAGTGAAAATGCATCATTACGCCTTTCAAAAAGGCATTATTATACTTTCCAAAATGTCGTTCTTACGCCTTTTATTGAATCTTTGCTTTGTGAATATCAAATATCCATGCTCAGGCAAATTCTCATCAATATTTAGTTGCTTTAAAGAGGACCTTGTAGAAGACTTTAATCGCTCATTTTTTTAAAAAAAACATAGCATCCTTGCAAGGTTATCATTTTTAAGTATTTTTTTCCAAACTCAAAAAAAAAATTAAATAAAAAAAATAATGAAAACACTCGTTTATATTCAAGGATTTATCTCATTATTACACATTTTATATCTGATTAGATACACATTAAATTTCTCCAAGTATCAAGGGCATACGCAACGTAGTTTGAACTTTATTGTCTTTTTCCCTGGAGTTAAAGAGTTCCAATACTTAAAGGAACTGTGTGCTACATTCGTATGTCTATATATGCCGTTGTACGTCTTCTAAAACAAGTTTGGATAAACAAAACATCTAGAATATGTGTTTAGTAATTTTTGTGTATTTTTCTTTGAATTATACAAGAATTTTCACCAATTGATATCTTTCCAAAACCCCTGGTAATGCATGCTGATTTTTTGTCAACGAACATCTGATGGCACTACAATCTTAAATTAAGAATATTTTGAAAAATTATCAGTAGGTAAGGTACGTTGCGTATGTCCTTAATGGTCAACTTTGCTTCTTTTTGAACTACCCAGGTAATATCTTCTTGTATAACGTGATATACCTCAAGTATGTTCGAGGATTAAAAATTATTGATCATAATATTGAATCTTCTTATATCTTAAGAATGTTAGTATTCTTACATTTCATGCATATTTCGATATGTTAATCTTTTTAAATACGATTCAACCAAACATACACATAAATCAATTTAAATATCAAACAAGTAATACATCAGTAGATTGTCAATTAAATTCAAAACATTTCGCGAATCATGACGAATCCTCACAAAAGAGCAGCAAAAATAATGATGCTCATATAATGACGATTTTAAGGAAGCTCTAAACACTGCACACTAAAGAGTTTTACTTATAGGGTAGTTTTATGCAGTTAGAGTGATCTGCCCTTAGAAGTAAGATAGAAAAAATGGTTATTTACAGTTAATTAAACAATTTGTAATAGATCAGAATATTCCTAACATTATATTAGACCGAGAATAAGTAATTGAATTCATTTTTTCCATTAATTTTCCCAATGTAAGTAAACATCAGTGATTTCTGCTCACTCACGAATAGTCCATTGCAGGTATCTCATGTTGAAAATGAACTAAATAGTCTCAATATGCACACCTTTATATGATATATTTTTCTCCAAGTCCAAAAAGCACTTTTTGTTAGTGTTTAGAGCTTCCTTAATAATGTTTTGCACTTATATTAACAGAGACTATGACGTAGTCAATTAAGCCATGTGACGTGTGTCCTGCTACTTGTTAACAGCGAATGAAAACGTAGGAGTTTGTGTTTAAAATGATGCTTTGTTTGTATCAAAAACATGATGATAGGAATGATAATTAAATTTGAAAATGTAACATATATCATGAAACACCCTATATATTCCTCCAAAATAAGTAATTATCTACAGCAGAGTAAAGTTGCGCCATAGTGTGAGTACAAATAACTTTATAACAAAGTTGACATAATTCCAGCAACACGCAAGAGAGAATACACGGCCATACATTTGATCCTCAATAAACGATGAACTCTGTCATTGTCCTTTTGAAGAAGCACATGAATTCCTTCGACTTGTTGTACGCAAGGAAAAGAAGATTCATCCTTTAATTGAGTCGAATTGTTGATAAATACCAGGTAATAGTAATATAAATAACTGGATTTTTATGAATTCTTTACTACATACAATAACTTGCGACAAATAAATTAGAAGTCATGATTTACGAAAAAAAATTCTTTCCATTTAATCCAATTGCAAAGAGGTGAATAATTCTTCCCAAAATCTCATCATGTTTTCTTCATTTTCAGGCCATCGAATACTTATGATTGACCACCATATGTATCTCAAGTCTTTTGGCATTCTTTCCACAGAAATGCCGTCTTTGATGATCACTATTATGGATTTTTGTCTGTGATTGTGAAAGGCATGAGTCACTACCATTTGCACGACATAGGAATCCCATCCACTTTTCAAGAAGTCTTCCGTTACCAGAATTATAACTTTCTTGCTATCGTCGATGTACTGCAGGAGTTGCTCAGCTTTTGATATACCAGGGACAAAATCTTTATCCGGTAAGCTTATTTGGAAGCCTAAATGGATTAATTTTCTATACAGAGTTATACATGCTAGACGATAGTCTTCTTCTGCGTATGACACAAAAGCATGAAATTTGAATTGTTTTGTCTTTACCACATGTGCATGCATGATACCTTTCCATCGACTACGCAGGCGCAGAATGATATAATCAACATGGACACGATATTTTTTAAAAAATGATGCCGTCAATAATATGGGTATTAGAAGTACCAACAAAATGGAAGAACACGTCAACCACATGTATGCTTGACATTTTTTTTCAAATTCTATGAATGTTTTTTCCTGAAAAAAATCTGTTAATGATACCAATTTGCTAACGCAAAGAGTTTTTTTCAAATCTCCAAATCTGTGTTGATTGTCTTTCATCCACTTGAGAAAAGAAATGTGAGTACATTCACAGTTTATTGGGTTTCCTTCGATATAAAGTTTTATATACTTATGCAATGTTAATAATTTGTCGATGTCAGATTTGGGAAAAAAGGATATTTTATTAAATCGCATGTATAGTTGATCCAGCTTGTGCAAATTTGAGACAGGAATCGATGATAACTTGTTGTTATCGAGATTTAAAGTGGAAAGAGAAAGCTCCTGATCTTCAAACATAGTATGCGGCAAAAAAGATAGAGAATTCTGGCTTAAATCCACAACCTTTAGTCTATTAAGCCCAAAGAAAAGTTTTCCATTCTAAAAGTATCGACACACTTAAGATTTGTATTACTCGCGGAAAATTTTTCCAGGTTTGTAGCGAATTGTAATAGTGGATAGTTCATTTCATTGCACAGGTTATTAGATATGTCAAGAATTTTTAAAGATGGCGTCTGTAACGGAGCTAAAAATTTGCATGAGACTTGTGTATTTGCTACATACAATTCTTTTAAACCTTCACCAGATAAAGTCATGTCAAAGGGAAGTGACACAGTAAAAGGAAGAAGGACATTGTTAGAAACCTGTAATATTGTTAAATGTTTTGACAGATTTAAAGTAAAAATTCTCTTTTTGAAACCAATACGACATGAATCACTTTGGTTAGATATTTTACCAACAATACCATGATAATTGTTCGAACTGGTAATGAAAACCTGTAGTCTCGGATATCGTGCAAGAAAATCCGAAACTAAAGCAATCTTTACAAACTCTATCTTATTTACAGATACGTCAAGGTACTCAATGCATTGACCAATTCTTGTGTTTAGGGGGCTATCCAAAATGCCAGTTATCCTGTTTCTGCTAAGAATGACTTTCGTGGTGCAGGTATTGAACAAATATCTACAATTTATCTTGTTAAGAAAAACGTTTCTTTCTACATAATTTGGTATATTTAAATAAGCAATTATATAATCCATTGTCCTATTCTGAAGACACTTTAAGGAATATAATGCGACGTTCAAATCACACATTCCACCAAATTCAATATACACACCTTTCAAAACAGGAAATGAGCAAAAGATTTCTTCACTTACATCACTATAAACCATGTTCCTGAATCTTAATTCCAAATAATATATAGGAGAGTTAGACAAACCAGCAAAAGTGGTTCTTGTTAAATGAAATTTTGAATTTTCTGTAAGCAAGTTAACAGCTTTCAACTGTGTTAACTTTTTAAATGGCTCTTTAAAATGGAATCCTTCGAAGACCCCTATTGTCAAACTTTCCAAAGTCTGTAGTCTGGAGATCTCAATATCTGGATATCCTAGATGTTTAAATGCATTTTGATGTATGCGCAAAATTTTCAGCTTAGTTATATTAGCGAAGGAGTTATTTGCCAGAGACCATTTTCCTAGTTTGCAGTTAGAGAGATCAAGAACACACAAGTTCACTAAAGATCCGAAAGCAGATTTTCTGATGAGTTTTACTTTATTGAACTGTAGATAGAGAGAGGTTATATTTTGCAACAATTTGATATTAACGCTAGAAAACATTTCAGAAGATATCGTGGTGAAATTGTTTCCGGAAAGATCCATAGCCAAGGACTTGTCTTGAAATCTATCTGGGATGTTCCGAGGAACTATTCGCATATTAAGCTTACTGCAAACAAATAACCAGCCACGATTCCCACATTCATCTATGTAAGGCTTGAAGGTACACATCTTAGAACTAGTTTGTTCTGTAATCTCTAAAATCCATTATAAGAAATCTTAATATTTGTCAAGGATACAACACTTGTACTTTTAAATGAAATGGGAAATGATATACACTGTATACGCGTATCTTGGTTTTTTTTAAACCTAAATATCTAAACATTAATTGATAAGAACAGGAAAACTTACAATGAGTATATATATATATAAGAAAGAGGAAGTATAACTTACTCAATGCATGAAAAATCATAAAAAGACACTTGACGATCGTAAGATGAGCCATCACAGTAATCACAGGTTACGATTTCTTACTTCTTAGAGTAAAAAATTCTTCAGTCTTGTATCAAATATCATTTGGAGATCTGAAGAAAAAACCAATTCTAGTAAATGTTCAGAAAGGTTTAATGTTCTATTTTTAAATATGTATATATATATTTACAATATTGGAGATACTGATAACGTTTATTCAGTACACAACACACAAAGTGCATTGTTTAGTTGTAAGTGAGAAATTCTGAAAGGATCATTCTCTATATCATTTGCGGCCTAAGATGACTTCAAATTTTCAGAAAGTATTTTTTCTTTTAAAAACTGCATAAATAAAACTAGACTAATGGCCCACTTTAATGATAAATTTTGATTGTTTAATGAAGCTAAAGTATTTTTTATTATATATGGTCACAAGGTAATGTACTATCAGTCCGTATCAGCATTAGGGTTATGGAAAAACTCAAGAGGGTTGGTGTTTTAGGCAGCTCGTACACATGTCATAACCATCTTTAATCAACACCAAAAGAAACTGGGTTATAAGCCGAGCTATATGCTTACATAACCACGGATAAAAAATCAATATATTTATTTCTCACAAATTTCACTTTTTCTTAAATTTAGGTAATGTTTATATATAACCAATTGCATAAAAGTTGATAATGCGTGAATACAGTAACTGTGAAATTGATTATGATTAACACAACAAAATGGCAAAACACTCAACTTTCACCAAAAAAAAAAAAAAAAAAAAAAAAAAAAAAAAAAAAAAACTACATAAATTGGATGCATGCTATGAGTACATTTTTTTTTAAATAGAGTGGATCATCGTTCCAATTTTTTGAAAACGAAAAATGAAATGCAATCGAAAGATGTTTCTTTTTACACTTTCAAAAATTTGGTGCTAAGACCCCCTCTACATAAAATATTAAGTTTACTTAGTTGAACTGAGGACGTTTATTGAGGAAAGTGTTCGAATCATGCTCTGATGTTCTGATTTTTTTTTTTTTGGTATTATTATATACAATGTATACATATTAAGGACAGATGATACAAACAATTTTTTTTTTGGAGGGGACTTAATATTATGTCACAGTTTTAGAAAAGTGGATAATTCTTTGATTTTTTTCCCCTTAGACTCGGAGAATGAAATACCTTCCATATTTCCCCCTAAAAGTATGCAACTAGAGTAATCATGGTAAAATTGTTAAATCATTCATTTACCCTCTTTTTTCTTCAAAAATCTTTCTAAGGGAGCACAGAGTGAACTGATATTACATTTACTAAATAACATGTTGTATTTCCTTGCATAAAAGAAATGGCACTTGGGAAATATTAGATGATACTTCAATAAAATTAAAAATATGGACAAATCACACTAGTAAAGGTTTACAGATGAAAATAAATTTCAGAATATGTTAGCTTGGTGCTTAAAGTGCAATGTAAAATTAAAAAGAATATACCAAGCCAGGTGAATTTTATGAAACAAAATGGTAAAAATCACATATGCTGAGTTTTACTAAAACTGTGACAATTCAGTTGCGGATTTAAGGGGGAGGCACACCCGGCACGGGCCCCCTAAAATTGTCAAAGTTAGCGTAAGTCATGGTTTTTGTCGAGAAAATGTAAGATGTCTACTCGGTACACCTCATTTTTATCCTACAAGATCTTTAGAATCCTGGACCTACTTGGGGACTCAAGGCGGCCCCCAGACCCCCTGCCTACTTATTGCACCCCCTAACTTCAATTCCTGGATCCGCGCCTGGACATGATATGAAGTCTCCTCCAAAGAAAAAAAATGTTTGTATCATCTGTCCTTAATAATATCTACACAAAACGTGTTAACACTCAATATACAGATTACAGAATAGAATTCACTACCCGTTTTAGGAATTCAGAAAATGAAGGTCTCGTATTTAGCTTGACAATGTTTAGAATCGAGATTTCATCAATTTGACAAGTACTGTACACATCTAAATACCTAGTGTTATGATTATGTATTATAAGGGTTTATAAATGACAAATTATCAATTATCAATTTATTTCTATATATTTGATCTATTATTTTTCGGTCTTGTTTGACATCCGTAGTTGAAGGTTAATTGTTTCTATTTGATGTTTAGAAAGGGCATTTTTGCACATGGTAGCAATATCTAATCCTTGAAATCTCTTTCCTGTCTCACTATATCAATGTCATTTACTCATACGTGTTATCAACTTTATGGTTTTATGGTTGTATCTTAGGATTGTGTTCTTTGAATTTGTTATGTTTAGCTCTACCTAATTTCAGTCTTGTAAATTAATGTCATACAGATTCCCCCCGTTCATGCAACTTTGTTATCCTTAAGTTAATTGGCTGGACAGTACGGAAGTGGGCGGAGTTGTCGAAGATTAGATGTGAGTGAGTTTGTATGTGAGTCAAATCTACAATTTTTTTTTCGTTAAATTCAGTTCGTTCTAAATTGCATTTTGTGAAATTAATATTTTTGGACATGTAATAAATTCTAACTTTTAAAACCGTTTTATCATTTGACAAACAATATTACACTAGGTAAATTCGTTCAGTTGAGATATTTCCGATATATACGTACATGCATAGCCGCAAAACGGGCATTGGCATCTGGCTCGACTAATCCCCCTACTTTCTTTGCTTGTAAACTTCTTATAAACACAAAACGTGACTACCAGGTTATGGATTTGGTTAAAAGTTGTTATGACATCTGAATATTTTTTTACGATATTTGCAGGAAAAGCTAATTACTCTTATCATAAATTTTCATTTAGAGAGCAGGTTTCTATTTATTAAAGAAGAATTAATATAAGCCATGAATTTTTACTCGAAAAATGCCAACTTTTTACTTGAAGAAATGTAGAATGAAGGAACTGGAAAGACTGGATGTCATGAAATTACACATAAAGACAAGTCGTATTGAACTGTCTGCTAAAAATAGAGAAAAATTAAGTACTATAAAGAGTGAACTTTATTTAAACTAACTATTATTATTCATAATTATACTTTAGTCTATTTTTGCTACTTCTTTGTAACTATTTATCCTTACTTGGAGTACCATATACCTAGTTGTACTCGATATGTTAAAAGCTATCCATGTTGAAGTGGGAAGATACATTTGCTTATTTTGTCATTAACTTATTTTTATTATTTTTTTTTTTTACAGATGTACATTTTATAGATAGGGAATTACTGACATGAAATAAAAGTTTCATAATGGGAATTCTCGCCTCGAACTTTCCGAAGGATTGTCATATTTTTCTATATGAGTGAAATAGGGTCAAAGTATATTATGTTATCTTAACACACATTTTTGGTAGCATTATTAGCAAAGAGAATAGCAGTTTGTCTTAGAAAATTAAATGCGAAGAGGGAGGGGGTTCCTAAAGGTCACATTTGATGAATAATTGAATATTGTTTAAGGCCATTTAAGAATTCTTAACCCAGAATGATGGAGAGATCGTCCACTTTAGGTGAAGTGTCACAATTTTAAATATTGCATTGTGTTTCATTATACATGTATAACCAATGCCTACCGTAACACGGTACCCCCTTTTTAAAGGCAATATCCAAAAGACCAATGAGTTTTACTTTTTAAGCTCAGGACTTAGCAAAGGAACAGTCACTAAGCGCATTAAACACCTCAGTTTTTGCATTGGGAACGAGAATTGAGCCCTCGGGCATAAAGCGAGCGTCATACCCTTAGGAACTATTTGTTCCTGGGGTGTTGTAGAAAACTGTTACAGTGTTGTCCATGGATATACTTAAACTTTTGACTGCAAGACTGTTAGAGTCATCTGTGCATCTGATGAGGGAAAATGTTTTGCAGGTCTATTGCCGTATTATTTACTAAACATTTCAAGAGGAATTAATGTCTTAAAAAGAGAACATTTAATTTGTTATCTGAACTTAAATTTTTTAAATATTTTCTGCGATAGAAGTTCGTTACCGAAAATAATGTCCTCATGCAGCCTTCAATGTCGTAAATATTCCTTAGCCCCCCCCCCCCCCAAAATCTATAATTGTAAAATATATGGAATAAAAGTTGAACATGCAAGGTTTTCTCAACGAAGAAAAGGTTTATCTTTGTATATTCAGAAAAAGTCCTTTTTTGCATAGTCAAGCAATTGACATACTTCTTCGTTGATTGAACATTGATTGAGCATTTAAAATACAATGTCGTCTCCTTGTCACTTACGAGGGATGTTCAACAAATAATGTGTTATTCTTTTTTTAACATATTACCTCGGGGGGAAAGGGAGGGGATAGTCGTTCCTTTTCAAGATTCAGAAAGTGTCATCAATAAAAATTAAATCTTCAGTCGGAAAGCTTCACCTTTTTCTGTTGCACTGTAGGAAAACGGCTATTTTTTCGAATAAAGGACAGATCAAAGTCCAATGATAAAGTTATGAAATAAATTCAAACAATAAAACCCCCCACATAAAAATCATTTAGCCTGTTATTTTATCAGTAACAAATAGTTTTGGTAAAAATACTTGTGTTTATTTGCAAAACCAATGCTAAAGTTTAAGTCGAATTTATGAGCTCGGTGTAGACACAGCCAGATTTAAATGGATGCGTAATTAAAAAGCATGGGATAGGGGTTTGGACCACCAAGGTTCCTGTCTACAGATTGGATACTAAATACAAAACACAGTCATTAATGCTTTTTACAAATCAAAATTTTTTATTGCATGACATTACTATAAAGGGAAAATACTGAAGAGAAATT